TTGATTACAAAGCTACATTCACAGTGGAAATACTCAGAATGTTCAACGGGATTATGAAAAAATAACACACAGATTGACACAATATGACTTCTATACTTACCACAAAGATACAACAATCAAGAATGTGTACAATACAATACAATACAATGTGAAAGAATAAAGGGGATGGAGAAAAAAGCCATGAACAAAGGCAGGAAAATATAGACAACTTTTAATCAAAAGACCAGAGGAAATTTAGCCAGGAAAATTGTGATCTTAACCAATGCTACCCAATTACCTATGATTCAATGTGTATAGAAATTAAACAAACACAGACTTCACAACTTTCATAAAATCTACTCAAAGTGACCTTAAACTGTTGTTTTTGACCCTCCAGCTACTGATATTTCATCCAAAGACAGAAGCTCGTGATCTAGGGCTCTCTACAAATGCAGATAATCTCTTGCTATGGCTCTGCAGCCCCTTATGTGTCCATGTGGTTTCAGGTAAACCCAGCCCCACTGATCCTCAATCCCAAAATAACATAGAAGAATAATTTAAAATCTGCTTTCTGACACATGGGTTACAGCACAAGATGTGGATTCTGCCCTATCTACCTGCCCAACACTATGCACAACAGAGTAATTTGCAGACCAGAAACTCCTTTTGTCCCCTGGAACTAAACTTCACTGAATCACATCATTGCAGCTGGTGGTAGCAGAAATTTAAAAGCATTCTAATGATGTATTGCTGAAAGGTGATCCACATCATCTTTCTACCAGTTCTAAACTATTTGTAATAGTTATAAGAAAAACCTGAATGTGGAATGCAATATTCAGAACTTCTAGAAATTAGACCTTTAGTTTTCCAATCTGTCTTCCTACTGCACACCAAAAACAGTGCTTGTATGTGCACACTGGACAGTGGTACTATAAGCATCATATCCTCCCATGCCAGGGCTGCAGAGTCTCCCCTACCCCAGGAAATCCATACACAGGGAGGTGCCGAGGACAAGGGCCACTGCCCAGGTTACCACATGGACCAACAAAACCACAGTCTAGCTCATGGTCCATCCAAATCCCAGCAGAAATGACAGCTCAGAAGACCTGCTCTGAGCACCCTACACCCACCATGGCATGGTTTATGGTCTTCCATACAACTCTCTAAAGCAGAAGCAGAGGAGAATCCTGAAAAGAACCCACAAGACACCTGCCACTTCTACTTCTGATTGCTACGGTTCCCCAGAATCCCTCATTGACTAGTGCCACCCAGCTGGGCCTTAGAACATTAGCAGCTCCTCTATTGGGTGATCAGAGATCAAATGACTCAGATAGCACAGTCCTTCCAGCTCTGCCCTTCCATCCCAGCAGACAGGGCCATAGTCTAGAAAGTTTGTATTTTAGTAGACATTCTTCTACTCTCACAAAACACTTCCTCTTCCATCCAAATACAGGGTCCTTTGTGTGCACTTTCCATTATACATTCAATGTCCATTGCAGCCAACACATTGCCTCATAGCTGGGAAATCCTGTAGACAAACACAGGTCATATGCACACAGTAACTGTTGTTAAAGAAAAATAGGTCATAAATTAGAAAACAATGAGGGGTCATAGTAGGGCTTGGAGGCAGGAAAGAGAATGTGAATATGATATAGTTATAATCTCAAGATTATTTTGAAAAGTTGAAACAGACTTTTGTGGCCTTGTGCTCCAGAAACTAGAGATTTGTATTAGAGCACATCAAAGATTTCTCATACCTTTTCTCTAAGGATTAACATCTTAAACCAGAAAAACAACAATCCTCTTAGGCAGGGCCACGGCATGTTACCCAGATCTTCATTTTGGTTTAATTACTGTAACTATAGCAATTTGGTTTCATGATAAGGTCAGTGTCCTTTACCCAGATTCTTTTTTTTTTTTTTTGGTTTTTCGAGACAGGGTTTCTCTGTGTAGCTTTGCGCCTTTCCTGGAGCTCACTTGGTAGCCCAGGCTGGCCTCGAACTCACAGAGATCCGCCTGGCTCTGCCTCCCGAGTGCTGGGATTAAAGGCGTGTGCCACCACCGCCCGGCTTACCCAGATTCTTGATTGTCTTGATCTGTGAACCGTGAGAAATGGCCAATCACTGCTAATCTCAACCACAGTCCTGCTTCTCCTTTTCTGCACTGTGATTCTACCAGCTTCAAAGTTGGTCAATGAACTCATTTCTTGCACAGGACACTCTTCATTTATAAGTCCCCAATAAAAGCCAAAAAAATTGGAGGTCACTCATTAACTGGTCTATTTTTCCTTCTTACTGACTAGTCACAGCCCAGTCTGGAGGGAATTTCAGGACTGTCTTCCCAGCACTGGGCAGCAGAGGCAGGATTAGTTTCTCAAGGCAATTTTCAATTACATACCATGAGGCAAGCCTAAGCTATAGAAGACTTTGCTCTACACAGAAATCAATAATCACCATCACTTGAGAGAAAAGGAATGAAACTATTAATGACATAGAAACATTAGGAAACAGAAACAAATAGAAATAAGAGCAGTAATGCACTTAAAAGAAAATATTTAAAAATGGGTGATTTTTTAAATAATAAAAATAATATATTTTTAAATTAAAAAAAAACTTAGCTATATTTACTTTGAAAAAGAATAGGCTCCCTTCCCTAGTAGAGGGAATGTCATTAATAAGACAGAGATTGATGCTGCCCTTATGCATATGTTAGCTGCTGAGATCTGTAACCTGATACACAAAGTTACAGTCAATGGCTTTTTTTCTCAAACCTCTGAGCTGACATAACTGTGTCAAGCAGGATTGAACATATCTCCATAAGAGAATTGCCTAATTGAAAATTCAATATTCTTTGGTGCAAGACAACTTTCCCAAATTGTACATCACCCAGTCTGGTCTGTCTTCATTCACAAGACACGAATTAAAACATGCTGGGAAATTACAAAATCACTCTCTCTACCACAGTCAGGACCTTCTTCATAATGGTGACTCCAGCAGCTGACTGCCTACCTTGTTTCCCCTGAGGTGTACACAAGAAACTATTCCTCCTATTTTGATCTAAAGGCGGAAGCAATGCTCCACATGGAAATCCTTTTCCTGTGACCACATTGGATGGTCAACTACATGACTCAAATGGATAATTTTAAAACTCTGAGATGGGACAGTCATTTAATTTAAGAATTTTGAAGGTATAATACAGAGGATTGCCCTGAGAGCAACAGACTGGAATCAAGACAAGCTGGGTCAAAATAAGAGAGCTTGTCTTAGAATCATTTTTTCTAACAGTATGGAAATGCAGCTCTTATAAAATTAACATGCCTTCCCAGGGAGAAATCACTCCACAAACTTAAGAGATTAATAAAGAAAAACCTCTGTAAGGATGGTATGCATCCATCTCTGGCTAATACTCAAAGAGGAGCCAGCCTAGACAGATTTAGCATTCCACATATATCATCATCCTTAAGTGTCTCTTAGGTTCATGCTCCAGGTTACACTTTGAACAATTTAAATAAAGACAGGCAACTTGCCAGTCTAGACACTTAGGCAGATGGGAGAGTTACACAGCAAAGATATTCCCAGAATAATTTCTTAAATACACCAGTGAACTGAAACAGCAGATATTTCTTCATTGACAGGGTCCTGAGGTGAAGGTCACAGGAGATGAGGAAGATAGAAAAAGTAGAAGGTAGAAAAGATCAAAGCTGGGGTGGAGAGGTCTTGCACAAGCTGTGTCACAAGCCAAGTAAGCTTAAGAAAAATAGCATCTTGTATACTAGTTCCAGGGGGGAAATGGAAGGAAATGGGAGACTTTGATGAAGTCAGCAGAAACTATATACAATGGGAAAAATTCAGAAGGAGGTTAATCAAACAATGTTACACAAGGGAAACATAGAATATCTCAAAACATTACTAAGCCCACAGTGGCCTTGGAACTGATAACCATAGCCCCATGTGGTAGGAAGAGTTGGGTTCTCAGGATCTGAAGAAATCCCTCCACAAAGGTCCTGGCCCCAAACCATTTCCAGCTCTCCCAAGCATATTCCTGGCTTTAAGAAGGAGCTCTGTTTTATTGTCAATACATCAGGCCCTTAGGAATAACTCCCAAGGCCTAGGTCCCAGGCCATCTCTGGCTCTGCCAAGCACATTCCTTCTCCTTGTGTGAGAGCCTAAAGGAAAAGTTGTTGGTCAGGCCAGCCCTCAACAAAACAGTGTTTTCCTTTTCAAATAGCTGTCACCTGGTGTCATATTGCCCATCTATCGGTACTTAGCTTTTCTCAAGAAGAAAATTGAACCTTTATGGCACACCAGGCCTGAATGTTGCTTGTGACCCTGTAATGCCCCTTGAGCAGTTTGTTAAGAGGCCTGTTCTTCGATATGGGGATGGGCCTAGTGGCTGGTTGTAAAACAGGGGTGGCTTCTTTGAAATAGTTTGGAGCCAAATGTCTGGACAATCCTGGTGAACAAATGTGTATTCTAGCATCCTAATCTCTAATAGGCCTGGTTAGCATATATTTACCTTTTGGGTATTTAGAGGCAGTCCTCCCTCAGCTAAATTCTGCTTTGTGAGACTTATATAAATTCTTTATATCACCAATTCTACTCTTCTACATCACTGTGTAGTAGTGGAGGGCTACATAACATATGAGATGCCTTTTATAACCTCCACAAAATTAACTATAAATGGATCTTACACGTAAAGGTTAAATGCAAAGTGCTGAATGTCTAGAAGATATTGGAGAAACTAGGCCTCTCCAAGTTTGGCAACCTGCTTTCCATGGATGCACCAAAAACATGTAGAGATTTACTAGAAAGATGTTTCTACACACGGCTCCTTGTTCCCAATGCTCTGAGCCCACAGAGCAAAGTTATTCAGAGGTCTGCCCCTGGGTCCAGGGAGTTGCAAGGTCTGCACCGGACCTCACTAGACAGGGAATCTGGTGCAGGTTCCCACCCAGATCCGGGGAGTACCCACCACACTGGCTCCCGCACCTCCCTATCTGGGGACGGCAGCCCCTAACTCACCATGTCGTGGTTTCACAGCTCACCCAAGCTCTCCACTCAGCTCCCAGCAGCAGCAATTACAGCACAGCACACAAAACTGCAGGCGCCAGCTCCTCTTCAAAGCCACGCCTGAAGCCTGGTGCCGGAAGAACTGCACCACTTCTGACTGGCAGGTCGACTAGAGGGCCTGATTGGCTACTGAGGTCTGAGTGACAAGAGCACCTCCCATAGGGTTACAGTATGCTTAAAGACACAGCACAATGGTTTCTGGTCATGCCTTCCACCCAGACACATTTTCCAGATCTACAGAGATATGCATTTCAATAGCACTTGCCCCTGGCTCCAATAACAGACCCTGCTATCTTCCTGCACTCCATGGGCACTCCTCTTCTTTCTCTTGGACACAATGCAGCTAGCTAGCTTGCACACCCCACTATACTATGCAGGTGGAGTGATTCCCTGTCCCATGGGTGGAAGGGTGCCCAGAACATTAACAATTAAAGAGAGATTTAAGGACACAAAAGGAGATATTTGATCTGTGGCTTCATGCAGAGATCAGATGAACTGAAGGTACTTTTTACCTGGTTGTCACAGGGACTTCAGACACCAAGAAAGAAAAGCAGGAACTAGATCATAGTGGTCTTTCTCCCATCAGAAAGCTGGATGATGGCTCCATTGCTTTAGGGGTTTTATTCCTGAAATTCAGAGCAAACTGTTGGCAAATGAATAATAATAAAATGTAGTCTTCGTGGAAAGTTGAATAGAGAACAATGGAGCTAGGAAGAATGTCTTTACGAGCACTATTGTTAGCCAGCACATCTTTTTCAGTGGGCAGATGAAAAACCAAACCAAAACAAAACAAACAAACAAACAAAACACAACTGCATTATTCAAGGCTCTCTACATGAACAGGACTGGTAGAATGAACCTTCCATGTATGTAGAAAGTGGATTTATTAGAATGTTTCACAAGTTGTGGTCTAGATAGCCCAACAATGGCTGCCTACCTGTGAAAATTTGAGGAATCCAGTAGTTGTTCAGCCCATGAGGCTGTATATCTCAGCTAGTTTTCAATATACACCAAACCAAAGAAGTAGGCTCAAATGCTAGTAAAGGAATGAGCTTGGTAGCCAGAGCTAGGGCAAACAGGCAAAGAGAGCTTCCTTCTTCAATATCAGTGACTACCAGATTAAAGGTGGATCTTATTCTTTGATTGTTTTGGGTTTTTTGTGTGTGGGGGGGGGGTTGGTGTTTTCAAGACAGGGTTTATCTGTGTAGTCCTGGAACTCATCTGTAGACCAGGCTGGTCTCAAATTCAGAAAATCCAATGCCCCTGCCTCCTGAGTGCTGGAGTTAAATGTGTGCACAGCTACCAAGCAGCTAAAGGTGGATCTTAGCACCTCAAATGATCCAGTTTAAAGATGAGTCTTTAATTTCAAAACCTTTAAGAAAAATGCCTCATAGGTGTACCCAATTCTTTGTATAGTAGTTAATTCCAGAGGTAGTAAGTTTGACTACCAAGAATAGCCATCACAACAGCCAAGACAGAAGAAATAAAAAAGATTTCCTACCTACAGGAGGCAAGGAGAGCATGGGACTTGTTTCCAAAACAATGCTTTTCCTAAACAAAGGAAGCATGTGGATATTACTTAGGGAGTCTGGACATATTCATGTAGAGTTTTTCCTGTTACCAAGCACGTTCAGTTAACAAATCCACTTCTGAACATGATCACAATGTAAAAGCAGAGACATTTAGGGATGTTCTCACCTCAAAATCATACAAGAACATATATAAATTGTAAAAATGATGGAAAGAAATGTCTCTGGCATGTTCATCTTGTACCACAAGGCCTTAGCTGAAAATCAAATAAATGACACCGTGAAAAATAGATTTCTTTGGAGTCTATGTGACCTGTCAATCTTGATGTTTGATCTAAAAGATAACTATCAATGCCACAATTCTTACAGATACAAAAGATTAAGAACAAAATACAGAAAAGTTCAAGGAAAAGTCACTTAACAGCATTGTTTACTCTGCTCCTAGATGAGCAGTAATGATGATCTCTATTAACCTCAGAACAAAGCTGCTTTTGCCTCTGAGCAGGCTGGCTCAGCAGAAGGTCACAACAGCTTCGATGCAAGACCAGAAGGAGTTCATTTTAAATATCCTTGGCTTGCTGTCTGTCTCAGCATTTCATTCTTTACTTTTTCTAACTTTTTTTAAAAGTATAGTTACATGATGTTTTGCCTGTGTATGTCTGTGCATAGTACCTACAGAGGCCAGAAGAAGGCAGGAGATGCCTGGGACTGGAGTTACAGCAAATGGTGAGCTACCATGCGGGTTCTGGGAATGGAACCTGGGTCCTCTGTAAAAAACACCCAGTGCTCTTAATTGCTGAGCTGTCTATCTAGCCCCTCTTTTTTATTTAAAATTTATTTCCATAAATTGATAATTAAAAGATATTACATCACTTTCCCCTTTTATCTCTTTATTCTATCCCTTCCCCAATCCCTTCCAACTACTTCCTTGTTAAATATACATGAATAAGTATTCTGATATACATGAATACAGCCTGCTACATCCATTTTTGTTGGTTGTATATATATGGGTAATGGGCTGACCACATTGTATTGGATAGACAATTAGGGACCTCATCCCTGCCTAAGGCTAATTCACTCAAATGGAGGAGAGTTCTACTTTTTAATCAGCATCAGGTGTCTGACCTTGACTAGGCTGCCTTAGACAGGAAACATAATCAAGAATAGAATACGTAGGGTAGAAAATACCTTACTGGTTAAGAGCACTGAAGATTCTTTCAGAGCATCCAGCTTCCATTCCCAGTACACATAGAAGCTCACTGCTATCTGTATCTCCAGTATTAGGGGTTCTGAAACTACCTCCTGGCCTTCCTGGCCACCCTAAAAAGAGGAGACTTGTATCATAAAAATTGTTGTTCAAGCTATGTGTGGTAGTGCATTCTTTTAGTACCAGTAATCTGGAATCTGGACACAGAGGAAGGAAGATCACTATGAGTTTTAAAGTATGTGCTACATAGTACACACACACACACACACACACACACACACACACTGAAAAAGAAGAAAACTGAATAACATAAAAGAAAAGGAGCACTGGAGAATTAGGACAATACAATACCTCTTAAAATCACTTCAAGTGTCTGCCACTGGTGCCCATAGAATCATTTTCAAAAAGAAATATGGCCAAGCATGTAAGCACATATCATAAATCCCAGCCACGGGGAGAAACTGAATATTTGACAGTGGGCCATTCACTTACCATGCAACCTGAACTGCCCATCATGAGCCAAGTTTTATTGGACCCACAAAGTCACAAAGTAGGACATGCACAATAGTAATCTGTTATCAGATGGGAGTGGTACATAAGAGATCAGGCCCAAGCAGGTCCTGAAGGCACAAGCAAGCTACACAAAGAAGTTGTCCAAAAGCCTACAGTTTCTACTCCTGTTACAATGCCTTCTGCTGCCAAGCACACACCTATAGCCTCATGGGGTGTTCTCTATGATTGGTTGACTGAGGAAGAGAAGACTAGGGCCTGATTTATTGATGGTTCTGTATATCATGCAGGTACCACCCAGAAATAGACACCTGCAGCATTACAACCCCATTCTGGGACATACTGAAAGATACTGGTGAAGGGAAATCTTCAACATGGGTAGAAGTTCAGGCAGTACACATCATCACACAGTTTGTTTGGAAGGAGAAATGGCCTAATGTGTAACTATCCACTGATTGATGGGCTATAGCCAATGGATTGGCTGGATGGTCAGAGACTTGGAAAGAGCATGATTGAAAAATTGGTGAGAAAAGACATTTGGGGAATAAGCATGTGGATAAATCTCTCCAAATTGGCTAAGGGTATGAAGATACTTATATCCCGTGTAAATGCTCACCAAAAGGTGACTTCAGATGAGGAGGAGTTCAATAACCAAGTAGTAGATAGGATGACTCTTTCTGTGGACAGTCAGACTCTTTTCCCAGCCATTCATGTCATTGCCCAATGGGCCCATGAACAAAGTGGTATGGTGGCAGAGATGGGAGTTAGGCATGGGCTCATCAACATGGACTTTTACTCACCATGACTAATCTGGCTACAGCTGCTGCTGAGTGCCAGATCAGCCAACAGCAGAGACTAACACTGAGCCCCAGATATGGAATCATTCCCCAGGGTGATTAGTCAGCAACCTAGTGGCAGGTTGAGTACACTGGTCCACTTCCTCCAATAGAAAGGAGAACTTTTTGTCCTTACTGGAGTAGATACTTATTCTGGTTATGGATTTGCCTTTCCTACATGTGATGCTTCTGCCAAAACCACCATCAATAGATTTACAGAATGTATTATCCACTGGCATGGTATTCCACACAGTATTGCTTCTGACCATGGAACTCACTCCGCAGCCAGAGAAGCATGACAGTGAGCCCACAATCATGGAATCCACTCTTATCATGTTCTCCAGCATCCTGAAGAAGCTGCCCTGATAGAAAGATGGAATGGCCTTTGGTCTTTTGAAGACACAGTCACAGAACCAGTTAGGTGGCAGAATCTTGAGGACTGAGGCAAAGTTCTCCAGAAGGCAGTATATGCTCTGAATCAGTGTCCAATATATGATATGGTTTCTTCTATAGCCAGGATCCATGGGTCCAGGAATCAAGGGGTGGAAAAGGGAATAGTACCACTCACTATCACCCCTAGTGACTGACTAGGAAAGTTTTTGCTTCCTGTTCTCACAACCCTAAGTTCTACTGGCCTAGAAGTTTTCGTTGGGCATGAGGGAGAGGGAGAGGAGTGCTTCTGCTAGGAGCCACAGCATTCCATTGAACTGGAAACTCAGACTTTCATCTGGTTATTTTGGGCTTCAAATGTCCTTAATCCAACAGACTAAGAAAGAAATAACACCATTAGGAGGGGTGATGTATCCAGATTACAATGGGGAAATTGAATTGCCTCTCACAATGGAGGTAAGTAAGGAGGATTATGTCTGGAGTGCAGGAGATCCTTCGGGGCATCTCTTGGTACTACTGTGCCCTGTGATTAAAGACATTGGGGAACTACAACAATCTAATCCAGGAAGGATGACAAAGGGTACTGACCCAT